ACATTAAGTTTATACTTTGGGCTGAAGCCTGGTACAGAGACAGCTTTCAACAATTTAAAAAAGAAGTCCAAAAGAATAAATAAAAACAGCAAGCCCTGAGGAAGAGAGAGAATCTGATTTCCACAGTTCCCACATGATTAGCTACAAATGCCCAGTTTCTTTCTTTTTTTTTTTTTTTTGAGACAGAATCTCGCTGTGTCACCCAGGCTGGAGTGCAGTGGCACGATCTCGGCTCACTGCAAGCTCCGCCTCCCGGGTTCCCGCTATTCTGCCTCAGCCTCCTGAGGAGCTGGGACTACAGGCGCCCGCTGCCACGCCCGGCTCATTTTTGGTATTTTCACTAGAGACAGGGTTTCACCGTGTTAGCCAGGATGGTCTCGATCTCCTGACCTCGTGATCTGCCCGCCTTGGCCTCCCAAAGTGCTGGGATCACAGGCGTGAGCCACCGTGCCTGGCCCAGTTTTCATTTTTTAAAAAATCAGAAGGCGGCGGTGGCCGGGGGGGTGGGGGGAGCGGGTAGCTCACGCCTGTAATCCCAGTACTTTGGGAGGCCGAGGTGGGCGGATCACGAGGTCAGGAGATCGAGACCATCCTGGCTAACATGGTGAAACTCCGTCTCTACTAAAAATACAAAAAATTAGCCAGGTATGGCAGCGGGCGCCTGTAGTCCTAGCTACTCCGGAGGCTGAGGCAGGAAAATGGCGTGAACCCCGGAGGTGGAGCTTGCAGTAAGCCGAGATCACGCCACCGCACTCTAGCCTGGGCGACTGAGAGAGACTCCATCTCAAAAAAAAAAAAAAAAATCAGAAGGCATACAAAGAAAGATAAAAATATGACCCATTCAGAGGGGAAAAATAAATCCACAGAAATTGTCCCTGAGAAAAATCTCAAGCCAGATCTACTCAAAAAAGATTTTTAAACAACTGTCTTCAAAGACAGTTTTAAGTATCTTTAACGATACTTAACTAGAAGATGTGGAAAAAAATCAAGAAAATGATGCATGAACAAAACGGCAATCTTAATAAAAAACCAGAACACCTAGTAAAACAAAACGAAATTCTGGAGCTGAAAAGTATAATTGAAATGAAAATTTCACTAGAGAACCTCAAAGGCAGATTTCAGCAGGCAAAAGAATGAATCAGCAAACTTGAAGATAAGACAATGGAAATTATGGAGTCCGGGAACAGAAAGACTGAAAAAAAAATGAATAGAGTTTAAGTGACCTGTGGGATACCATAACACGACCCAACATATGCATGTGGGAGTCTCAGAAGAAGAAAGAAAAGGGCAAAGAGAGTATCTGAATAAATATGTAATCTCAGCACTTTGGGAGGCTGAGGTGGGCAGACTACCTGAGGTCAGGCGTTCAAGACCAGCCTGGCCGACATGGTGAAACCCCATCTCTACCAAAGATACAAAAATTAGCTGGGCATGGTGACACATGCCTGTAATCCCAGCTACTCGGGAGACTAAGGCAGGAGAATCACCTGAATCAAGAGGCAGAGGTTACAGTGAACTGAGATCATGCCACTGCACTCCAGACAAGTGACAGACAAGTGACTCCATCTCAAAAAAAAAAAAAAAAATTGAAGAAATAATGGCTGAAAACTTTCCAAATCTGATTAAAGATATGAATGTATAAACATCCAAGAAGTTCAATGAACTCTAAGATGGTAAGATGACCTCAAAGAGATCCATGTCAAGAAACATTATAATCAAACTTTTGCAAGCCAAACACAAAGAATCATGAAAGCAGGAAGAGAGAAGTAACTCATCACATGTAAGGAATCTTCAATAAGATTATCAACAGGCCAGGCACAGTGCAGTCCCAGTACTGTGGGAGGCTGAGGTGGGAGTATCACTTGAGGCACGGAGTTTGAGACCAGCCTGGCCAATACGACAACATCCTGTCTCTTCTAAAAATACAAAAATTAGCTGGGTGTAGTGGTGCACGCATGTAGTCCCAGCTACTCAAGAGACTGAAGCAGGAGAATCACTTTAACCCAGGAGGTGGAGGTTGTAGTGGGCCAAGAGCACTCCAGCCTGGGGAATAGAGTGATACTGTCTTTAAAAAGGAAAAAAAAAAATAAAAAAATAAAAATAAAAGATTATCAACAGATTTCTCATCAAAAACTTTGGAAGCTAGAAGACAGTGTGCAGATACATTCAAAGTGCTAAAAGAAAAAACTGTCAATAAAAAAATCTCATATTTGGCAAAACTGTCCTTCAAAAGTAAGGGAGAAAGTAAGACATTCCCACTTAAAACCTGAAAGAGTTTGTTACTAGACACGCCCTGCAAGAAATGCTCAAGGTGGTCTCGCAGGGTGAAATGAAAGTACTCTAGGCATTAACGTGAAGCTATATAAAGAAATAAAGATCTTAATCAAAGTAAATACATGAGTATAATTGTAAAGATTAATTTGATGCCTCACAATCAAATTATATAAACCTGATGTCTCAGGTGAATATAACTGCACTTTTTGTTTTCTGACTTAAGAGACTAATACACTTAAAAAAAAACCCTAAAACTAGTATTATTGCAAATTTTGGTTGTAACTCCACATTCTGTTTTCTACAGCATTTAATTTAAGAGGTTAATGCATTTCAAAGATTTATTCATGTATGTTTTAGGGCACACATGATGTAATTCTGTGATATCAACAACTGAAAGGAGTGAAGAAGGAGCTGTTAAAAGTGCAGTCAAGAATCCCTTCAACTCAGGAGGTGGAGCTGGGACCGTACCACTGCACTCCAGCCTGGGTGATGGAGTGAGACTCTGTCTCAAAAAAAGAGTTTTTGTATGTTATCGAAGTTGAGCTGGTATAAATTCAAGTTAGACTGTTGTAATTTTAGGATCTTCAATGTACTCTCCATGGTAACTACAAAGAAAATAGCTATAGAATATATGCAAAATAAAATAAGAAAGAAATTTAAATGTTTCCATACAAAGAACCAACTAAAGAAAAAGACGGTAATGCCGAAAACAAGGGACAAAAAAGCTATAAAGTATGTAGAAAAGAAATAGCAAAAAGAGAAGTTCCTCCTTACCGGTAATTACTTTAAATGTAAATGGCTTAACTCTCCAGTCAAAAGACACAGATTGGCAGAATGGACTTTTTAAAATGACCCAATTATATGCTGTCTATAAAACATTCACTTTAGATACAAAGAACAAATAAACTGAAAGTGAAAGGATGGAAAAAAAAATTTCCATGCAAATAGGAGACAAAAGAGAGCGTGGATGGCTATACCATTAACAAACAAAGCAGACTAAACACAAAAAGCTTACAAGAGACAAAGAAAGACATTATGCATTAATAAGAGGTTCAGTACACTAAGACACAATGGTAGTAAATACTTACATACCTAATGATGGATCATCAAATATAAAGCAAAAAATGAGAAGTGAAGGGAGAAAACAGTTTTACAATGCTATTGGAAAACTCTCAATAATGTAAAGAACCAGACAGAAGATAACTAAAGAGAGAGAGGGGGGACTTAATACAATAAAACTAGATCTAACAAACATATACAGAACACTCTTCTAATGATCAGAGTTTTTCATATGTGCATGTGTTATTTATTCAAACTAAAAATGTGTGTGGTAGTGGCTATAAAAATTATGAATGTACTTAATGTCACTGAACTATATATTTAAAATGGCAAAACAAATGCAAAAAAAAAGAACGAATTAACAAATTTGATGTTATATCCATTCAGTGCGGTAATATTCAGCAAAGAAAGGAATGAACTGCTGGATAGATCTCAAAAGCATTATGCTGAGTGAAAGAAGACAGCTACAAAGAATAGATACCATACGATTTCATTTATATAAAATTCTAAAAAAAGGAAAATCTAATCTATGGTGACAGCAGATCGGTGGTTGCCTAAGACCAGGGGTGGGGAAAGAGACTCATGCCGAAGGAAAACAAGGAATTTTTTTAGTGACAGAAATAATAATTTTTTTTGTTGTGGTGGTGGTTTTTTGTTTTTCTGAGATAGGGTCTTACTCTATTGCCCAGGCTTCAGTGAAGTGATGCAATCATGGTTCACTGCAGCCCTGACCTCCTGGGCTCAAGTCAGCCTCCTTCCTCAGCTTTCTGGATAACTGAAACTACAGGCACATGCTACCATGCTCAGCTAATTTTTAAAATATTTTGTAGAGATGGTGTCTCACTATGTTGCCCAGGCTAGTCCTGAACTCCTAGACTCAAGCAATCCCCTTGCCTTGGCCTCCCCAAGTGCTGGGATTACAGGTATAAGCCATGTCACCCTGCCTAATTCTATATCTTGATCATAGAAGTAGTTACTGAGGTGTAAGAATTTGTCAAAACCGGCCAGGCTCGGTGGCTCATGCCTGTAATCCCAGCGCTCTGGGAGGCCGAAACGGGCGGATCACAAAGTTAGGAGATCAAGACCATCCCAGTTAACATGGTGAAACCCCATCTCTACTTAAAATACAAAAAATTAGCTGGGTGTGGTGGTGGGCACCTGTAGTCCCAGCTACTCGGGAGGCTGAGGCAGGAGAATGGTGTGAACCCGGGAGGCGGAGCTTGCAGTGAGCTGAGATCGCACCACTGCACTCCAGCCTGGGCAACAGAGCAAGACTCCATCTCAAAAAAAAAAAAAAAAGAATTTGTCAAAACATGTATTTAATATATATTTAAAATGATATATTTTAAATGGGTTCGTTTTTATTATAAAGTATACCTCAATAAAGTTGATTAAGAAACAACATTAACTGGTATGGGTTGGCTGAAGGTATTTAAAAAAAAAAGAAACAACGATTAACAGGAATAACTTACCAATAAACTGGTTTATTCTGCTACTTAATTATTTAAACTATAATCTTGTTCCAACTATTGTACAAAAGGAGAAGTATCAGGCTCCAGGAACCCCAGAAGGGGCACAACAACGTCTTTCCAAAAACAAAAGAATCTGGAACATAGTGACACCTCATTGCCAACATAAATGACTACAGCTCTTAGGGCAGACTATACCTTAATCTGCTAATCTGCTCTCCCTTCTTAGTTTAGTTCTGACTTAGTCTTCAAACTCTGACAGTAATTGATTTCTGCGTCTTAATTCTTTACTTCATTCCAGGTGCTGATTTAAACTTCTGGTCTGTCTCGTGAGTCCTGAAACCCAGCAGCTTGTTCCAATCCTCTGCTTTGTATGAACTCCAGTTCTGTTAGTAATATAAAACAATTTGATTATTACCTGTCAGCTATTTCTTCCTGGCCACACTACCTTGGTTTTTCTCTGCAGCTAGTCCTTTATAATTCACCCAAGGTTCTCCAGGACCCAGAGGCTCTCATTACCATCAACATAGCACCTAATATTTCAGTGCCTGCACAGTAGTAAACACTGGGCTTTACATGGTACCCAATGCTTACAACAGCTCTGTAACATGGCCATTATAATGTACTTTTATAGATTAGGAAGTGGAGGCTCAGTCATTAAGCTTATAAAACTAGTATATAAAGTAGCCAGAATTCCAATTTAAATTCTCTTGTACTGCATTTACCTCAACTAACACAATCATTAATTTGAACAAGATCAGTACTTTTTGGCAAGGATAACATTATCTGAGTAGCTACTTCATTCTCTAACAGCACTGCTCACCCTTTATATGAGGCTATCTCATATTTTACAATTTTTAAAATTTTTTTATATTTTAAATTTTTGTGAATACATATTTATTCACAAATATGGGATACATAAGATATCGTGTACAGGCACTCAATCAGTAAAAATCACATCATGGAATACTGGGTATCCATTTCCTCAAGCATTTATTCTTTGTGTTACAAACAATCCAATTACATTTTTAGTTATATTAAAATGTACAATTAGGTTGAGCGCAGTGGCTCACACCTGTAATCTCAGCAGTTTGGGAGGCTGAGGCAGATGGATCACCTGAGGTCAGGAGTTTGAGGCCATCCTGGCCAACATGGTGAAACCCTGCCTCTACCCAAAATAGAAAAATTAGCCGGGCATGGTGGTAGGTGCCTGTAATCCCAGGTAGTCGGGAGGCTAAGACAGAAGAACCGCTGGAACCTGGGAGGCAGAGGTTGCAGTGAGCCAAGATTGCGCCACTGCACTCTAGCCTGGGTGACGGAGTGAGACTGTCTCAAAAATAAAATAAAATGTACAATTAAATTATTGACTAGAGTCCCCTTACTGTGCTATCAAATACTAAGTATAAAATACTAAGGTCTTATTCACTTTACTTTTTTTTACCTATTAACCATCCCCAGCTCACTCGCACACCTGCCCACTACCCTTGCCAGCCTCTGGTAACCATCCTATTCTCTATCTCCATGAGTTCAACTGTTTTGATTTTTAGGTCCCACAAATAAGTAAGAACACATGGGTTGGGCGCCGTGGCTCACGCCTGTAATCCCAGCACTTAGGGAAGCCGAGGCGGGCGGACCACCTGAGGTTAGGAGTTTGAGACCAGCCTGGTCAACATGGTAAAACCATGTCTCTACTAAAAATACAAAAATTAGTCAGGAGTAGTGGTGGGCGCCTGTAATCCCAGCTACTCGGGAGGCTGAGGTAGGATACCTGCTTGAACCCGGCAGGCGGAGGTTGCAGTGAGCCAAGATTGCGCCACTGCATTACAGCCTGGGCGACAGAGTGAGACTCCGTCTCAAAAAACCACAAACATTTGAAGTCTATCTTTCTGTGTCTGGCTTATTTTACTTAACATAATGACCTCTAGTTCCATCCACGTCGGTGCAAATGACAGAATCTCATTCTTTTTTATGGCTGAATAGTACTCCATTTTGTATAAGTAGCACTTTTTCTTTATCCATCCATCCGTTGGTTGCTTCCAAATATTGGCTATTGTGAATAGCGCTGCCACAAACAGGGGAGTGCAGATATCTCTTTGATATATTGATTTCCTTTCTTTTGGATATATACCCAGCAGTGGGAATTGCTGAATTGTACAGTAGCTCTATTTTTCGTTTTTTGAGGAACCTCCAAACAGTCCTCCATAGTAGCTGTACTAATTTACATTCCCACCAACAGCGTATGAGGGTTCCCTTTTCTCCACATCCTCACCAGCGTATCCCAAGTTCTTAACATCCTCGTTGGTGTCTAACATAATTACATATCATTTGGGTGAACATTAAAGTTATTGCTGATTAAATAACTAGTTATTTTCAGCAGAAGAAAACATGCTAGAAAAAAAATGTCAAAATGAGAAAAATTCTGTTTCCAACACAACCTAAACTCTGCAAACGTTTAATGCATAGATTTTTTTTTTCCTTCTCCTAAAAAAGTAATTGAAACCGGTAGTGGTGGCCTGCATCTGCAGTCCCAGCTACTCTAGAAGTTGTGGCTGGAGGATCGCTTGAACCTAGGAGTTTGAGGCTGCAGTGTCTTATGACTGAGCTTGTGAGTAAGCCACTGCATATGCTACAGCCTGAGCAACACGGCGAGACCCCATATCAAAAAAAAAAAAAAAAAAAAAAGCCACCTGAGCAAAATAGAATTTGGGCTAGATTTTGGAATACCTGAAATAATATCAGTTTTGCTTTTTATAACTCCAATTACTGTACATATTGGTCTAGTTACTAAGGATTAATCTGATGCCTCATGATATGCTTGGGCTACTTGTCTCTGCCCCAATCTCATGTTGAATTGTAATACCCAATGCTGGAGGTGGGGCCTTGTGGGTGGTGTCTGGATCATGGGGGGGGACCCCTATTGGTTTGATGCTGTGTTTGTGATGGTGGGTTCTCACGTGATCTGATCATTTAAAAGTATGTGGCACATCCCCATACACACACACTTGCTCCCATTCTCACCATGTGAGATGCATACTCCTTTGCCTTCTGCCATGATTAGAAGCTTCCTGAAGCCTCACGAGAAGCAGACAACACTATGCTTCCTGTACAGCCTACAAAATCGTTAGCCAATTCAACCTATTTTCCTGCAAATTACCCAGTCTCAGGTATTTCTCTCTTTTTTGAGTCAGGGTCTCACTCTGTCACCCAGGTTATAGTTCAGTGGCATGATCTCTGTACACAGCAGCCTCGACCTCCTGGACTCAATAAATCCTCTAGCCTCAGCCTCCCGAGTAGCTGGGACTATAGGTACATACCACCTGTCTGGCTAATTTTTGTATTTTTTGTAGAGGTGGGATTTTGCCACATTGCCCAAGTTGGTCTCAAACTTCTGGGTTGAAAGTGATCTGGCCGCCTCAGTCTCCCAAAGTGTGGGATATCAGGCATGACCCAATGTGCCTGCTCAGGTATTTCTTTATAGTAGTGCAAAAATTGCCTAACACATCTCACTACGGTAACTTGCATTTGCTTTTAGAGAATATCAACAGGCACTGCATTTCAGGCACAATGTGTTCTATTTCTATAACTGCTCAAAAGGCTCACTGGGAATTCTTTTTAAAACAACTCACATGATCATGCCTATAATTCCAGCACTTTGGGAGGCCGAGGCGGGCGGATCACGAGGTCAGGACCTTGAGACCATCTTGGCTAACATGCTGAAACCCCATCTCTAGTAAAAATACAAAAAAAAAACATCAGCCCGGCACGGTGGCGGGTGCCTGTAGTCCCAGCTACTCGGGAGGCTGAGACAGGAGAATGGCAAGAACCCCGGGAGGTGGAGCTTGCAGTGAGCCGAGATCACACCACTGCACTCCAGCCTGGGTGACAGAGAGAGACTCCGTCTCAAAAAAACTAACAAACAAACAAACAAACAAACAAAAACTCACATGAAACTTGCTTATTACAAAGCAATCCTTCAGATACTTTTTCTACTTAGCCAGACAGACCTCAGTGAATTAGATAACAGAAGAGTGGAGTCCTATACACTTGAAATGGAGAAAAGGCAGGTTAGTATTCCCTTCACAAAGGAATTCAATACTAGAAACGGGTAGAGAATCCAGTATTTAGATTTCCAAAGGCGGCAAGCAGACACTGCAGAGTTAGCACGTTAGACAGAGACATTAAATCATAATGCAAATAATGTATAACCTAACTAGCAATTAAAGAAAAGCAAATTAACACCATTCAAGCTAGTAAAAATGAAGTTAAAATGGTGAATTAAGCAGATATATATTCACTTCTTCCTGAGATAACTTTAAAATAATCATAAAAAAACTAAAAGGAAGAATCATGAAGGGGGCCTTCAATGGACAAGAGATCGGGACAAATTACTGAAGGACAGAAAACAGATGGCTGAGTGATGACCAATATGGCAAAGCATGGAAGCTGTTATCTGGAATATGAAGTATGCTGCAGCAGAACAGAAGTGACTGGCACACAGAACCTTGGTGAGACTGGGGGTAGGAGAAATAGGGATGCATTCAGAGTTTGCATATGAGCAGTAAATGCTCCCCTACCCACCCATCAGTATAGCTAGAAGCCAGATGTCCTCACCATTCAGGGAACAAAGCACCTTTCTCTAAAGCAGTGGTTCTCAGCATCAGCATCACCTGGGGGCCTGTGACACAGATTGGGAGGTCCCACTCCCAGGGGTTCTGATTCAGTAGTGTTTGCTAGGGGTTGGGGGCAGGAGAAAATGGGAATTGACTGCTAATGGGTTCGGAGTTTCTTTTTGGAGTGATAAAAATGGTATAAAATTAGATAATGTTGATGGTTGCACAACTTTGTGATCATAGTAAAGACAACTGAATTGTTTACTTTCATTTCTTTTAAGAGACAGGGTCCTGCTCTGTTACTCTGGCTGGACTGCAGTGGTGTGTTTATAGCTCACTGCAGCCTTGAATCCTGAGCTCAAGCAATCTTCCTGCCTCAGCCTTTAAAGTAGCTGGGAATACAGGGGTGCACCACCATGCCTGGGTGACTAAAAAAAAAAAATTAAGAGGGGGTCTTGCTATTGCCCAGTCTAGTCTCAAACTCTATGCTCAAGCCATCCTCTTGCCTTGGCCTCCCAAATCCCTGAGATTACAGCCCTGAGCCACTGCACCTGGCCTGAATTGTATACTTTTAATGGATGAATTTTATGGTATATGAATTATATCTCAATAAAGTGGTTCTTGAAAAAAATAATTTACTCTTCTGTATATATCTCTTACAGAAACCCACCAGATAGACTTCAACAACTATAAAATCATGTCTCTTCTTTGTCTTCCCTGTACTAAACATATCCACTATCTTCAGCCATTTCTCTGGGCCATGAAAAGTCAGGCTACAAAGGAACAACTTCTTCATGTAAAGGTTTACAAAAGATTCTAAGTATTTGGAAGTTGATAAAGAAACAGGGCAGAAAAGCTACAGTTTTCTATCTTTGGATAATGTGGCTAAATAGAATTTATTCAAGTATAATATATCAAACATGACTTAAAAGTACAGAGACATTCCAGAGCCAAACACAAACAACATGTATTAGGAGAACTAAAAAATTGTACACCATAAAATGCTCTACAATAATAGGGAGAAAGAGCTACATCAACTGGATTTCTGTCTGTCCAAGAATACAAAAGGAATAGAATCTGCATCAAATATAACAGCCAGTGGCCATTAAACATGAATGACATTTAAAAATGCACTTCCGTGTAATCACTCTACTGATAAGGTTACCTCTAAATTCAATTCAACCTAGACAAGGCAAAATTTCCTTGACATACGCTCTTCTTGCCCTCAGGACAGTGTTTTTATAACAGTAATCACACTCCCAATTTCTTGTTTAATGCTCATCTTGCTCATCAGACTCTATAGGGTCATGAAGGTTGAAATCATTATCTGTCTTGTTCATGTCTACTTCTTGGTACACAACAGTTTCTCAATAAATTGAACTGAGACTGATATTTGAGCCCTGGACCAAGCAACGTAATAGTAGCAGAAGCTAAGATGACAAAGAGGAACAAGATACAGATTAAGGACTTTATAGTCTAATGGGAAGATAAGATAATAATTTCAATATTTCCTGATAAATAGAATTGATAGAAACCCCTTTCCAACAGATAATTCTCTTTATTTTGTATTAAATAATAGTT